TCTATCAATTCGATTTATGATTTGAAAATTATAAAAGCAGGGTACCGGAAGGAGTTTACTTCCGGGTTTTAGGACGCGTCACTGTGGCACTCTATTTCACACACTTTCCTGACTTCATCAGTAAGCTGCACCATTGTCTCTGGAATTCCATTAGGCAGCACTAGCTTCCTGGTGTCATCGGGATTCAGAATAATTTGTAACTTGGCTGGCGTTTTCACGGCCAAGTCAGGCAACCCAAAAGGAACTAGAAAAAACAAGAACATAAACAATGATATTAGTAATGATACACTGACAACTGAAATCAAATGTCTCACAATAGTGACATGCCTGGAATGACAGAGCAAATTATTGCCACCAGTAGCTCTTGTTCAATAAACATACAGATGTGAGGATTGACTTTACATGCAACAATATTAATGAAGTGCAGTCTTGTATTTTTCATTTACTTGTACAATACAAACTTTTTCTCATTTAACATTAATATTTGAAACACACACACACACACACACACACACACACACACACACACACACACACACACACACACACACACACACACACAGCACACAGCACCTCTACTTGCTACAACACTTAAATATGAAGCCTAGGTTCAACTACGCACACACACATCATCTCGACTCGCGCAACACGCTCACAGGCATAGATTGTATTGCGCACCTTGGAGGTGCAGTGCAGGCATATTGTCATTCAAGAGATGCGTAGTTCTTCTGGAAAACATGTTTTTCTTTTAGCCTATTTACCTCGTTAACGTAAATAATACTCATTACATTGACACAAGCATTATTTTTGATTAAAATAATGGTTGTTGGTAATGTATTAGCGACCCCCACAGATGTATGATTTCACTGCGTCCGTGGGAGCTCAGACCCCTCCTTATGGGAGCTCAGCTCCCATTGGCTCCCACATAACTCGAACCCTGGCTTCAACGCACGCTGCTGTGGATGGGCCGTAAGTCTCCATTTTGGGTTTGTTAATCTTTTTTAAACGTACATGAAAACTACATACAGTTCATTTTGGAACTTACCAAATCAGCATAAATTGTGACCTTCAGTGGAAACAGCAAACCTGTAAACACAAAGGAAATAAATAAATAAACAAGGTGTATTTAAACGATCTTAACCCAGCATAAATCACACACCCTCACCCTCAAAGCATGGTCAACAAGACGGGCAGCGTGTTACAAGGAGAGTCGGGTTGTTTCCCCCTCCCCACTGTTTACAGTCCCCTCTCCGGAGCGACGTGGTCCGAGTGCGGGTTGCTGCGGAGCAGAGATACACCTTCAGCCACATAACTATAGCGGTCCCGGAGCTTTAATAATGGCTCGCCAAAAGTATAAACATCTCTAACGCTGGCTGGGGTCTGGCTGTTATACCTCATTCACACCAACGGTGTTTCAGGGCCGGTTCGGAGCTGGAGCTTGAAAAGCACCGGGTTTTCCTGTTCACACCGCAGCGGAGCAGCCTCTTATACCTCATTCACACCAACGCAACTCCGGTTCAAGCTCCATGCTAGAGCTTTTCAGGTTCAGAACCGGTTCTTCGGTTTAGCACCGGCTCTTTTCACACCGCCCAGAATCCGACTGGTGCTGCGTCATTGCGTCATCGTTTGCGTCATGACGTAACCGTTTGCGTGCCTGCTTCATAAAGCCAAACCGCGCGGAAACCCCTCACAGCTCACACCGACAACAACAACAATGGCCGATTGTGCTCCAGCTTCCTCTGTACCTCTTCGGAAGACCAGATTCCCAGTAGGTAGCTGGTCTCTTCAGTGGACCACTGCTGCTTGTTAAGTTTCTCCATCGTTGTGTACAAACTGGATAAAACGCGGGCTTTTTGTTGTTGTTCAGGAGTTGATCCCGTCCCTGCCCCTGCCCCCGCCTCGACGTAAGCGTGACGTATGCAGTGCTTTTGCTCTAGCCGGACAATTTTTTGGTGCTTGACACTAACCGTATTGCGGAGCTAAGAGGCTGCTCCGCTGCGGTGTGAACAGAAAAACCCGGTGCTTTTCAAGCTCCAGCTCCGAACCGGCCCTGAAACACCGTTGGTGTGAATGAGGTATTTGCTCCGGAATCTGGTTCGTTTCGAGCACAACAAAATTGTCCGGCTAGAGCAAAAGCACCGAATATGTCACGCTTATGTCGAGGTCGGGGCAGGGGCAGGGGCAGGGGCGGGATCAACTCCTGAACAAAAAGCCCGCGTTTTATCCAGTTTGTACACAACGATGGAGAAACTTAACAAGCATCAGTGGTCCACTGAAGAGACCAGCTACCTACTGGGAATCTGGTCTTCCGAAGAGGTACAGAGGAAGCTGGAGGGGAGCACGCGGTCCAAAGCAATTCTCCAACAATTGCAGAAAGAGATGGCAACTGCTGGTTTTTACCATACCATGGAACAGATTGGCAACAGATTAAAAAAAGTCAAAACCAAAACGAGTAGCGCTTCAACACAATCGGCCATTGTTGTTGTTGTCGGTGTGAGCTGTGAGGGGTTTCCACGTGGTTTGGCTTTATGAAGCAGGCACGCAAGCGGTTACGTCATGACGCAAACGATGACGCAATGACGCAGCACCAGTCGGACTCTGGGCGGTGTGAAAAGAGTCGGAGCTAAACCGAAGAACCGGTTCTGAACCTGAAAAGCTCTAGCACGGAGCTTGAACCGGAGTTGCGTTGGTGTGAATGAGGTATTAGTGTATTTAATATGCTGCTGTGTTTTTTATGAGCGGAGCAAGCATTTGAAATGCATTTTTTTAATGAAGACATGCGATGCTGATTAAGCTAGCGTTGTACTATGTGCCCTGTTTAGCCCCGACGGCCCCAGCCCCTGTTAATAAACAAGCTTGAATTAAACACTCAAGTTTTTACTCCAAAGGCCCATGCCACTCACAGTTATATGCATTTCAGTCACCAAATTCATAAAATCTTTTCAGGGACCTTCACTTTCTTCTCCCACTTTGCCTCACCTGCCAGCTCTGCTGTGTGTCCGTGTGTGTGTGTGTGTGTGTGGAGCACATATATATATATATACATATAAATAAATGACGTTCGCAACAATTCAATGTTTTCACTAGTCAAACGGACACAACAGAAGTTCCCCCCATGCATGATACATTTATAAAAATGACCTGGTTAAACAGCTTAAAAACTAGCTAACACGTGGCTAAACTTGCTAAACCATAGCCCCATATAAAATACCTTATGTGAAACCAATATAACATTTGCAACTATTTAAACTTTTCACTAGTCAAACCGACACAGCAAAAACTCGCCACTTGCATGATAAATGTATGAAAACTATCTGGTTAAGCCATCCTTAAAATAATTGGTTACACGTGGTTAAACTTTGCTAACACATAGCCAAATACATAGACAGATGGTAAATTAGTTGTTTATCTTGACACAACACTAAATGGATAAACATTTCAACATAGTTTTAAACAAAAAAAAACAACCATTTCAAATCCTTACCTTATTTAAAAGTGTTTTTGGGTCAGACACTCTCACAGACAGTGGGTAGCGGTATAATGGCGGCTGCAGCAAATCTTGAAGTCACCTTGCTTTGTACGTCACGTGGTCATGTGACATGCTTTGAAGTGAAAAAAACGATTTAGGTTAAAATATTGTTTTTAAGTTATTTCAGGAGGAATGTGTTTTGCTTCTGGGCAAACGGAAAAAATCATGTCAAAAACGGAAACCACGATTCTTAATTAGACCAATTTAAAAATGTACTTTGATTAAATGACACAGTCGTTACACTTTTGTCAGTGTTGTTTGTGCAGATTGGATAAGTATAGGGTATTTTACCTTGAGTTCTGTGCTAAGTGCGTTAGCTATTTTTTGCTCAGGGCTAATTCAGAGCCTTTGTTATTACCATTTCGTTTTGTTTAGCTGAAAATGGTTAATATTGTCTGATAGCTGAGTTTCTTCCCGTTAACTGGGTATGAAACATTAATAGGTTTTTAAATGTTAAGAAGCCCTGAGACACAGTTTCGTGAAAAAAAAACCCGCTGCCCCCGCGAGCGGCGGCCTTCGGGTTGCACAGGTTAAAGGTCACATAAATATGTGTCCCCGGTGTGTAAGGAGACCCACAAAGTGTGAGAAAATACAACCCTCTCTCTTTTCCTCCTTACCCACATCTCTAAAAACGGGGATACAACAGAGCTGATCCAGATTTGCTGCGGTCATGATGACATTACTAAAATGTGGGCTGGCTTTACATTGAACTCCTGCCAACATTCCGCTCAGGGCCCAACCTATCGTCCCTTATCAGAAACGTCGCTGTATCAGAAACAATGCGTTTTGGAAGTAATATGGTCTGTGTTTACATTAGCAAGCCTCGCTAACACTCAGAGCTAACGCTGTACTGGAGAGAGTATGTGTAAAAAAGCAGGATATAAAAGGTACTCACCTTGTGGTAAACCCGCGACAGAGAAAGTGTTTGAGCTCCATGCTGTTTCAGAAATAATGCTTGATGTGGTTTTCAACATAATATGGCGTTAAATCACGGCAGCGTTTAGCTGAGTTTCTGCTGGTAGACAGCCTTCTCTTCACAGAGCTCACTGCTTGCCTGCATGCTCCAAAGGGGCGTGGCCAGCAGCAGATCGGTAACATTTTAAACTACAGACCCAGAATTAGCACTTTAGTAACAGGGCTGAAATAGAGGGGGATTAGTCATGCTACAATGGGTTATCTGTTTGGTATTTTGAGCAAAACACTTCAGAGACATGTTTTGCTATATTTGAACAACATAATATGTTGTTCAAATATAGCATAATAGGTGAGCGTTAAAAACAGACATTTAATGACGCCAAGGGCATCGTTGTTGGAAGTGCCAGAGAAAATAATATTGCAAGCAGGCTATATACAATGTATTTTAATAAAGCTTACAACTATGAGCATGTAATATTGCAAGTGTGTTATTTTAAATGATTCCTGCATATTAATTAAACATGGCACACTGCTTGGTTTTGTGTTCTGTCACCAGATCAAGTTGGCTTTCTTCGTGGCCATTGTAGGCGTTGTGCTGACTGTCCTTGGGGTGGGGACAGAGTTCTGGGTGGAGCTGTCACCGTCAAAGAGTTTCTATAACAACCAGGTGAATTATTGGATTTATTAACCAGGGCTTTTGTTCGTATCCTTAATCCAGAATGCTGCTATTTCACTAAATTTGTTTGAGTGCATCTGTTTCTATGTGCATTTTTACCTAACATAAAAGACACTCAGTAGAAGGTTTTCTTTTCTAAAATGTTCAACAGATTTATGCTTGGTTGGTATTTAGAAGCAAAATGCAACAACATGCAAAGGAAACAGATTAAGTTATTTAAGATGTCTTACTTGAAGGATGTGACTTCAGCATCCAAACAATATATATATATAAATATATATATACACACAACAAATAGAGACATTAAAACAGGCTTCTCTTTTGCTACAATTTTGAGAGGGGTCTGCCTGCAGGCCTCCACTCTCAGGACAGTTCCGGTGCAGGCTCCACTCTCAGGACACCTCCACTCTCAGTACAGGAGGTGACGATTCTGACGAACACGTTTTTTTCCCCGCCCCCCGAAGGACTCGTCTGATGGAAGTTTTCAAATCACAATGGAGACTCATCACGGAGGTGATGAGTCCGCTCACCATGCACTTTGGGTCGGCCTTGGTCAAGCCCTTTTGACCCCCCCAGCCTGGTTCTCGTAAAAGTTGACTTAGCCATTTTCCGTTTAAATGACACCATGGAGGAATGTAACGGGAGTTGACAGGGGACTCTGCCCGCCTCACGAGTGCCTATTTTCGACACTTTTTTTCACTTTTCCCCCTATTTTCCCCGGTTCTATTCATTTGTCCTGAGACTGGCGCCTGGGCAGGCTCCCATGACAATTTCAGCAAATTTATATTCATAATTTTTAACATTTTGAGGTTTGACTATTGTTGTTTTGATCACGTCTTGTTGTAAATTCTTCTTCTTCTATGGTTTCCAACAAAAGATTTGCACCATCAACTGCTTATCTTGCTGAACCAACTCCTATTATTAAAATACTGGTAGTGGATGGAAACAGGTTCATTCACATTGCCAATTATCCTCAGATTTCAATAAAAAAAAATATATTTGCTGATAACTAACTGTCCCTTATATTATCAACCAGACCTGACATGTTTATGCAGTTAAAAGACATGGGGACGAAAACACAAATAAACAGTGTTTCCTCACTGGTGTCTCGATGCACCATGAGGGATGGTAAAAATAATATGAATGCTGAAAAACCTCTTTGATCTTTTTTGCAGACATGTCTGACAGCTCACTATGGCCTGTGGAAGGGCTGCACAAAGTCTTTGTGGGTGTCCGAAATCGACCCAAATAGAGAGAGCTGCGGACCTGCTGAACTACCCGGAGGTGACTCACAGAAACAGTGACCAGTTGGGTGGATGACTCTCTAAGTTTGATGATGGCTGACTGGTCTGTGTGAGGGATGGAGTTCTTATCTTTTTTTTAACATTTATATTTTATTAGACATTTTCAAAGACAAAAACATAAGGACAAGGACATAGCTCACACACATCCCAAACAGGACAGGACAATAACATGAAGGGTGGGGGGGTAGGGGGATTACATTGTCAGTTACATTTTATGTATGCATGGCGTTGTATATATACATGATTTGCTTCACAATATAGATATACCTCATTGTTTCCTCATTATTATTATAAAACAAAAAAATGTATAATAGATAAATAAATAAATAGATAAATAGTCAAATAAATAAATATATATATATATATATATATATATATATATATATATATATATATATATATATATATATGCACACATATATATACACACACACATACACATTTCTTCCTTTTCTGATTAATTCACCTATTCATCCATTTCCCATTTAATTTCACTTCTTTCATTATTATTACCATTATTTTTCTGTTTCTTCATAGCTTATTTCTCTTTATTTATATTTCTTTATTAATATTATTATAATTATTTATTGTTGGCAGCCGAGATGGTTTGAGTCCAGGAAAGCCCTTATCTTAACCCAAAGCCTGTTGTCTGGCTTAACCAAATATAACAGGGAGAAAGCAGCTTATTCCATACTTAAGATGTTTAGGAAGTCCTCCAGCCATCTATTTAAATTGAAGCAGTTGGGCTTTCTGACTTTCCAGTTCATAAGAATGAGGCGTTTAGTTGAAAGGCATGCTAGGGCTATGAGTTTACTTGCACATTTTGATTTTATGCCATTGAGCGGGGATCCCAGCAAGCATGTAGCTGGAGTTAAGAGTATCTCTATGTTCAGGATCTCAGCGAGTGTATCTCCAACTACGTTCCAAAGAGATTTTACAGCCGGACAAGACCAAAGACAATGTAAAAGGGTGCGCACTTCCGCACAACCATGCCAGCATAGGCCCGAGAGTGTTTGATCCATCTTTTTGAGTCTACAGGGTGTGATGTATGCTCTGTGAAGGATTTTTAACTGTATTACTCTAAACCGGACACACTTGGAGATTGATGTTGAGTTCGACCAGATTCTGTCCCACTCAACTGGGGTACGGGTGATGCCTAAATCCTGCTCCCATCTTTTCTGTGTCTGCAGATTAGTATTGGCGGTGGAGGTGAGGAGAAGTTTATATATACCTGAAATCATTCCTTTCTCGTTTGCAAGTCTTTTTAGGTTCATATCAAGGTGTTCATGACAACCTATCTTTATACCTTTTGATGTTAAGTTTTTAATATTTGATTGCAATTGCATATAGGAGAAGAAGAGGGATTTATTCAGATTAAAATGTTCCATCAACACTGTGAACGGAGTTATGATATTGTTTTTTACTATTTGCCCAATGTGTTGTATGTCATGTGCTTGCATATGTATATTATTCAATGGGTTACCGCCCGCTCTGAATATTGGGTTTTTCCATAATGGGCATGAAGGAAGGGAAACACCAGTGATGCCTAGCCTCCTTTGTACAGATTTAACCACACTGATAGAAAATTGAATTAATGGTTATTCAGACTGGATTTGGGGCAGTACCATAATGAATTTAAAGATATCGATTTATTGTTTTCTTTAACTATTTGTCCTTCCAGCCAATCCCAGTTAGCTTTTTTCGGTGTCGCTCCATAACCCCATACTATAGGGAATCTGGGATTATATGAGAGATAATATAAGTATAAATTGGGTACCCCCAGTCCACCTGTTCTCCTCGGCATAGACAACTTTTTATGATTGATTCGTGGTTTTTTATCCTTCCATATGAATTGAGAGAATATAGTGTTTATTTCTTTAAACCAATATTGTGGGATTTGAAGGGGAATTGAGGATATAGTCAATCTTGGTAGGACATTCATTTTTAACACACCCACCCTTCCCCACAGCGATAAGGGTAAAGAAGTCCATCTTCTCAAGTCATCTTTAATAGTTCTAAGTAAGCCTGGACCATTCATTTCGAAAATCTTGTTAATTGGTGATCTGATGTTTATGCCCAAGTATCTCAATCCATCAGCTTTCCAAACAAAAGGAGCAGAGCTTAAGGCTGCTTTTACACGGGAACGTTTGCGTTTATGCACAGTATGCGCTTTCAAAAAAGTCTTCCGTTCACATGCATTCGTTTCCAGTGGCGAGCCGTCAGGGCCCTCTAGGCCCTCTGTGAGGGCCTAAGATATTCCAAAAAATAATATTTAAAAACATTAAAAAAATATATATTTTTTTTAAATATATATATTTTTAATATTATTTTTGTTATATTTTTCATTCGTTTTACCGAAAAAAAACTTGATTTAATAAAATAACATTTCCAAATAAATAAATCCTTCGAATCTGCCTGTTCAGTCTCTGTTTGAATGTGGGTTACATGAAAGAAGCTCGTCTGGCCCTCTCTGCGATTCACAGAGGGCCCGCTATAGTAACTGAACGAGAGAGTAATGTCAAATGACAGTACAATTGACCAATCATATCTTCCCTCTAAATGGGTGGGTTTTATTATCGCGGACTAGATGACAAGTTCCGCCCGCTGTGAAACTTTTCTTGTTTCCATAGCAACAACAACTTCCTGTCAACAGCGTGAACTCGCCTTCAAAATAAAAGCATGCCAAATTACACTTAAGACATACAACTGCAACGAAAGTAACAAACACAATGCAATATCATTTTCAATGTCAAAGAACACAAATTGGGTTCACAGGTGTTGTTTTGTGTGGTCGCTGTCATTGATGCGTTTTGTACCCTGGGCCGTTGTTTTGATATTCCGCTGAAGTATACGCTGTGACGTAATAACTCTTTTTTTTTCTTTTTTTCGAGGGAAGGGTGGGGGTCAGAGGGCCTAGGTATAAAGCTCACGGCTCGCCACTGTTCGTTTCATTTAACGTGTCTGTTCAAACGAGACCGCTGGAAACGCTGTAGTACATATGCCGGGACTGTAAGTGGCGCTGTAACTTCCGCCAAAATACACCAAAAGCAGCGAAGAAGACCCCGGAGCAGCCCCGCAGCAATGTTGCCATGGCTACCCTTCTGTTTATGCCCCGCGGTGGATTTAGCAACATGTAGTTCATGTAATTCTCCATGTCCACTTGTTGCTGATGGTTGTGGTAGAGGAGCTGTAGATTTTGCACTAACATCTGTAGCATGGTCGAGCTGTAGATGTTGTACTAACATCTGTAGCATGGTCAGTAGCAGTAGCACTAGCAGTAGCTACTGACAGTAGCTACTGGCCATGCTACAGCAGTGAGCAGCAGAGGTGGGGAGAGGTGGGGCTATCGTTATTTTTTCAGGAAATATTCGTATAGAGGCGATTACACGGACTCGTTTGACCCCCCAGAGAGTTTTGTTTGCAAATCTATCCACCTTGAGACCCGTTATCGTTTGTGGGGTCCGTTTGTTACGGCCTCGTGTAAATAATAGGGCTATACGTAAGAGAAACTATGCAGATACAAGCCGTTTCGTTCTCGTGTAAATGTGGCCTAAGTGGTTAGAGCGAGTCTGACAGTTTAGTGGCATGGCTTCACTTTTACTCCAATTTATTTTATATCCTGAAAATAAGCTAAATTCTCTAATAACCTCTAGCACCTTATAGAGTTTAGTGGAGTTCTTATCTGATGATTGACAGACCAGCGGGCTGACTGGACGTTTGTCAAACTCTTAGGCTTGTTGGACTGCTCTGTTTGAGGGAGCGAATGAGCATGAATGAGAGGTCTACCTGATTCTCTGTCTGGAAAACAACCTTGCTTCACTGGTTGATGGATGGCTGAGTGACAGCTCTGACTGACTAACTGACTGAGTCATTGATACACGAGTCAAAGAGCAAGTCCACAAATTTGATGGGTCAAGTGAAAGGATACAGCATTTGGATTTCGGAAATAATCTAGGGGATCGACAGCCATATTTCTTGGTGATTTGTCTTGACAAGTTTTTTGTATGTGTATTCACAGTTGTCAAAGTTCTGCTTCTTAATAAACTTTATTTTACATTTAGTTTAATAGAGGTCAGAAACCGATAGAAGAAGGAGGAAAAAGGATAGAAGACCTGGCCAAGAGGTTTACTAATCATAAAACAAAGACAAACCATATTTAAATATAGAAGAAGTAGAAAAGGGTATTTCACAATCAATACAATTATAAGCTATAGAAAAAGATTAACAGTTTGAAAAAGTTACCAAAAAAACATGATCTCATCCCCTCACGTCATATTTTGTAGCATAGTCCATTGTGAAAAGAGATTATTAAAGCAATTTGCAGTTTAGTCAGTTTCCATGACTCACCTGTTCGAGCTTCCCTTCAAAGAATGACCCATAAAAAACAGTCAGACTGGGAAATGTCCACCAAGAGATCTGTGTATGTTTATCATAGGTTTCAGACAGGACACCCATTTGATTTGCAATCACTTTCATCTACAACAAGTGAGAGAGACTCATAGGGTTACTGGCTTTGTGGTTCAATGTGTGAAATAGTGTCCTATAGTTGCATGTGATCAGTCCATTAAATTAGTATTATACCAGTGCTAATCATTGGTTAGAAGGGGCCTGCTGCTGTTATTTTAACCTATAAAGAAGTATAGATTGACAACATCTACATATTATCGTATTTGGTCACTAGACATTCATTCACAGCGAAGTGGTAACTGTTTTTGGGTGTAACACCTGTGTGTTAATAGTAAATCAATGTAAACTACATTATTCAGTAAAGTGACATATCCTCAGACTATTCAGTTGAGATTTTACACTTTGTCACTCTGAGTGGTTGTTAATGACTCAGGGGCCCACGATAGAACAACATGAGCCATTAATAGAAAGAGGTGTACAGAGAAAAGTCAAATGATTGTCTGACTGGTCGGTTGCAGAGACCCCTCATTTGATTTGAATATTTGTTGAAAGGATTTGTGCAGAGCCTCTCTCAACGCTGTAACACTGATAGCTTTTGAGGGCAAGCAAACAACCTTTGAATACTCTGAGGATGTGGCTTTGATCACACTAATTAAGAGTGACGTGTGTGTGTGTGTGTTTTGCTTGCGCTTGTGCAAACGTGTGAGGGGAACAGATAGAGGTGTCACATTCCATTTGACGGCCAAAGTCTAATTACTGTAACACATCAACAGGACGGCACAATGCGATTAGTGCAGGAAGCGTTGGATTGTCACCTTGAGATTGTCATTGTGATTCACGGCTGATTATGTTTGATGAAGAGTTGCTGAAACAGAAGTGAACAGAGCTGAGAGAATTGGTGACTTGAATGCTAATATGCTGTTCATCAAGATTATCTGCAACTACAGATTATCTGACAATGATTGTTTATTTATGGTTTCTTTCCTGCATCTTCTTCCCTCTAGCATCTAACTGCACCTACTTCAAGTTCTTCACCACGGGGGAAAATGCTGTGCTGTTTCAAAAGACAACAAGGAAAAGTGAGTCATGCTGCTCTTATGGCCTTTTTGATCCGCTGTCCAACCTTTCCGCCCACTCCCTACTTTCTTTATTCCTTTTCCTCTTCTCCACCTCTCCTTTTCGCTGCCTCCCTGTGCCCTCTTTGCCCTTTCCCTCGTCTGATGCTTTTTCTTTGCTCTTCAGTCCCCTGTCTGTCGTCTCTCCCACGATCCATCCCTGTCATTTTCTCTCCGTCTCCCTTCACCTCCTCGCTGCACTCTTTCAGGTTGGCCATTGTCTGCTCTGTGAGTGTTTTAAATCTATTCCGCCTACGCTGCGTTCAAGTGTCTCCGAGCTGCCGTCTAACCTCTCATTTCACTGGCAGCTCTATAATGTATTAAGATCACACAGTACCCTACGCTGAATCAAGAAAGACAGACTACATTAAAATGTCATTGTTTGCTGGTGCCACATCGCTGTCATGCTGGATTTAATTTGTTATAATTTATTGTGTCTTACTTTATTTAAATCTTCTTTTAAGATTGAAATGACACACATTTTTACTCGATGAAATACAACGACAAAATACTTGTTACTACAGTATAATAAATTAACTTTAAAAAATGTACTGCGGAGGGAGACCTTGTCAACAACCAGCTGACATCATATTATTGTTATTATTATTATTATTATTATTATCATGAGTTCTGAGGGCAAGCTTTTCGCATGAGTGTCATTCAGGGTTAGGGTTAGGGATTCTCTTTTGTATTTCCATATGATTGGACCAACCCATTTTGATTTTGATTGTTAACATTTTGGAAGCTTTGTGCATCAGCTCCTCTGCGAGCGTCCATGGCCAATGGTTACACATAATGCTCTTCTATGCGTAGATCTACAGAGATGCTTAAATGTATCCTTACATACAGTAAATATTATATCTGTTTTTAGCAATTTTCAGACTGAAAATATTGAAAAAAGGGGCAGGATAAAAGGAAGTCCAGTTAAAATATATCTTAGAGATTTTACGTTTATCAAATACCAAAACTGAGCAGAGCATACAGTAGTTAGCACATTTTACAGCTTGGAATTATTACCTTTTTTTATCTTAAAGGGCCCATGTCATGGCCATTTCCACTGATCATAATTACATTGTTGAGGTATACTAAAATAGATTTATACTGTGCATTTTTCCAAACTCACATTGGTTTCGCATACAGCATCTCTGTAAAGTATGTGTATTCAGCAGTATTCACTCTCTCCACTAAACGACTCGTTGGAGCTCTTGCCCCCCCCTCCCTGTGAGCCTAGTGTGCTCCGATTGGTCAGCTCGGCCACTCTGTTCTGATTAGTCAACCACCAGAGAGGCTCCGCCCATGTCTAACAGTGCTTTTTTCGGCTCGCTCTCGGAACATCAGTCTTATAATGGCGTCGGTACAGCCGTATATTTTATACGCTAACTAACCGAACTGTACCTACAACTGTTGTTATAGAAGAGTAAGTTATTTTTACCTGTAATAAACTACTACTGTTTGATGAGAAATCAAATCATGGTTTGCTATATATGAATGATATGTTATGGGAGCAAATAATTCAGGGAAGAAAGGATAGGCCTACTAAGTATTTCCATCAAACTTTATTTTTAGAAATGTACAAAATAACATGCGTAAATATACATATATACACTGTATATCATCCATTCCTCCCCTTATAGGCGTTTTCGGCATCTTGCCTATCGCAGCTTTGTAAGCGGCTGCCGGGGCTTTTTAGGACGAGGCATCAGAGTGGGTCATCCCGTGTGTGTGTTGTCCGCCAGATACGCCAGGAGTTTCCTGATCTGGCTGGACGAAATCAAATGCAAATCACAAAATATTAGAGAAACTTAGTTGTTTTAGATTCGTTAGTAGTAGTTGTGGTAGGAGTGTGGATCTATCTAATCCATCTATCTAATCAACACAGTAAGCTTTCCAGCTAATATGCTAACCTAGCTTTCTTGTTTACCTTGGTAGCAAACACGATATGAACGGTATCTCGGAGGAACGGCAACTATAATGTAGTGTAATAAAACTACTATGAACAAAAGCTAGTGGTTCATATTAGGCTAGCAATAACGTGTTTATAATTGCAATCTTATACGGGTAGTCTGCTACGTTCGGTCATTCATTGTAACTGGCATGAATACGATGTTTTCCGCTAGCATGTATAGCTAGCCTCGTTAGCTAGCCAACTGTAATGTACCCGGAGTATACTGTATGAGTATTCCGTGTGTGAATGCAGACATTCTCCTGCCATGACAAACATGTAAGGCCATCTGCTGACATTGTAGTTGATATATTTAAACGCTAGCAACGTCGTTAGCCCAGTAAGCACTGTGTCAAGTGTTTTCCCGAGCAAACCCATGTCTAGCTCCGTTGGTAGCCTTGTTGTTTAGCTCGGTAGCATACACGCTCGGAACGCCAGCTATAATGTAATTACGTTTCGCGACTGACCGTACGGTAAATCACCTGGAGTAAAGATGAGTATTTCGTGTGTGAATGCAGACATTCTCCTGCTATGAGATACATGTATGTAAGGCCATCTGCTGATATTAGAGTTGATATGGAAATGCTAGCAACTTAGTTAGCACAGTTAGCACTGGCTTAGCAGTCCGAAACACGTTTACACATTTAAACAGTCGTGGTAGATACCTTGCCAGCTGGATTACAATACTAATCTACGTTTGCTAGTTGTTCAGTTGTTCAATATGCTATACTATACTATGAACAACAGATAGTGGTTCATATTAGGCTATCAAGCACATGTTTACAATTGCAATCTTATATGGGTAGTCTGCTACATTCATTGTAGCTGGCATAAAAACAATGTTTTTCCGAGCAAACTCATGTCTAGCTCTTAGTAGCCTTGTTGTTTAGCTCGGTAGCATACACGCTCGGAACGCCAGCTATAATGTAATTACGTTTCGCGACTGACCGTACGGTAAATCACCTGGAGTATACTGTCTATGAGTATTTCGTGTGTGAATGCAGACATTCTCCTGCTATGAGATACATGTATGTAAGGCCATCTGCTGATATTAGAGTTGATATGGAAACGCTAGCACCTTAGTTAGCACAGTTAGCACTGGCTTAGCAGTCCGAAACACGTTTACACATTTAAACAGTCGTGGTAGATACCTTGTTTGATAAATACACAAATAACAATGCAAACTTACAGGTTGTGTACCCGAATCTTCCCCTGCTCCAAACGGTCCAAACAAACTAGGAATAGCATCGTCCTTCAGTTTCAAATGCTGTGCATATCCGGCCTCAAACTGGGCAATGTTTTGGAAGCTTTCGTCTGTGAAATGCCGCGCACACAGTAACGTTCTTCGAACCTCTGAAGGAACAGTGTTAAAAAGACATTTCAACCACTGACTTCGTCGTGGTTCTTCCGTTGGTAGGACAAACAGCTCAGATTTCTCCTCACATTTCAGGAAACAGGTCCTTGGCATTGGCATGACTGGATCAATTGTGAACTGAACCAGAGCTTCCAACACTAAATGTTAGGCTGGCAGAGGGTGCGGCCAGCGCCGCTGGGTGTGGCCATAGCTCTTCCGGATTGGTCCATTTTGTTCCGGGTACCACATGACATCATGCGGTACCCGGAAGAATCAAATGGGCAGTGACGTATCTCCAACGAGGCGTTTTGGGGAGGTATTTTCTGTGTTAGAGTTTTACTCGCTACAGGGTGTACTTTGAGGGTTTTGACTCTGTACACCGTTTACATGCATAAAAACCTTCATAACACACAAGGGGACGGGTAATAACCGGAAAAGCATGACATGGGCCCTTTAACAATTGCAAGCTTACCAGTTGTTATACAAATGAGTCCACCAGGAATATGCATTGGCGCATATTTGATTGGTCAATGCAATGCACAAGATTTATGTTGAATTGTGTTGCAGCAAATCAGAATCAGAATCTGAATACCTTTATTCGTCCTAAAAATTGCTTTCTGTTTTATATGTTCCTTATACAGTACAAGGAATGTAACAGTTTATGATAACAACACTACCTTCTTTCCCGTGCAGATCTGAACGTAGCGGCAGCCATGTTGGTCCTGTTCAGCCTGTTCCTGATGGTGATGGGGGCCATATGCATCACCATGGCTCTCAGTAAAGAAATCATTTTCTTCCTCAAACCAGCGTCTGTCTGCTTTATTATGTCAGGTCAGTGAAGGCATCAAAACAGGGCAACCTTGGGGATTTTAGTACACAAGATCTTTCTTGTTTTGAATGCTAGAGGTTGCTAATTGTTTGTCTTCCGCAGGTGTCCTGGTGCTTCTCTCTCTGATTGTTTTCCACCAGTCTGTCCTTGCCTTCCTGGCCAGCGACCACACTGTCCCGCTGCAGCACAACCTCTCCTGGTCAGTGTCGTGTGTCGGCTGTGCCGGGGCCGTGCTAATCGTGGGTGGGATCCTCTTCCTGCTTCTGGCGCTGCCCTACAGCCCCTGGCAGAGGTGTCTCCCTCAGAAGAACAGCAGCAGCTAGTGGCCTGGAGGTGGTGTTGCACTTTATCTGCCCTTTCTGTTTGTGCAACACAGTCTCACTCCCTGATAGTCCAATAGCGACGCTTGGTCAGGGTCCTTTGGCATGCAGTTGTGACGCGCCGAGTCTCCTTCAGCTTCATAAACGGACGCAAAGAGCTTTCAACTGATTGCAATGTATTCCCATCGGCGGCGGTATTTGACGCTCAGGGAAGCACCGCATCCGTCCATGTTGGCGGCAGGTAAAGGCAATGTGAGCGTCTATTCCCATTGGATAACGGAGAATTTTACACCCGGAAGTAAGTATTCTCCTTACTGTCGATTGATTTTACAGTGATATCTGCACTACTCATCAACTCAAAAACACCAGATTATCCTTGTTAATTACACAACATTGATTGGTTTAAATTGTGTGCAATGCTTTTGTATTTTTCCTCTTCGATTCGGAGAAACAAATATGTTTTCGGAGTTTAGGATGGCAGAAGACACTACACTACCCATAATCCTCAGCTATCGTTTAGGACTACACCATGCGCTTTGCTTGACAAACCCCGTGATTAGTCTTCAAGCTCTGTGATTGGATGTTGGAGTGGCAGTGCGCAAAGTTTACGCCAAGCGTCAAACAGCACTTTGAAATGGAATGAAACCCATCGACGGCACACTATCCAAAACAGGACTCGAACGTGTCCATCCCCCCCCCCCCCCCCCCACACTTGTATTGGTCATGCGTACATAGCTACAGTGTAGTTATGATGATGAAATCTTAGGTCACAGGCTCCTCCAACAGTGCAACACAATAAAACAGATAAACAGAAAAAATTGTGCAAGTAAATACAAAAAGAAAGATAGTAAAATAGTGAAATAGTGCAATAGTGCAATAAGAGTCTATATACAAGTGATTGGAATATGATATATTAGATAAATCATTTCTAAGTCGCAGCCAGATGAATGTTCTGGATGTTGTTTCAAAAGTGCAGGTGTTTAATAGTCTTATGGCCTGTGGGATGAAGCTGTCCCTGAGTCTGGTGGTCTGTGTCCACTCCGGATGCTGCGGTACCGCCTGCCAGACGGCAGCAGACAGAACAGTTTGTGGCTGGGGTGATGGGGGTCTTTTATAATCCTGAGGGCTCTCTCTAATGTTAACCTTGTATTTTTACTCCACTACATTTATTTTAGTTACTTTGCAGATTCTGATTAATGATGTGAAATATAAACAACCCTTAAATCATACTTTAGTTACACCTGAGTAAAATTCAGTGAAGGTGATTCTCAAGTGCCAACAATCAGGCGAGATATTTGGTAGTGGGTGCTTGAAAAGACTGAACAAATGTATCTGCAGATCCCTATAAAGCATATTCACTCGTTATTCTCTACTAATAGTTCATTAAAGACTGTATATTGGCAATAAATCTACAAGAGATTGTACAGTGCAATCAGAGAGATACAGTATGTCCACGTTTTTGAGCAAGTCCACGAATCCAGTCTTCTGACTGGAGCTTGTAACCCGTAGACTGTCGCTCTGCCGTGTTGTTTCCCCGGCGCCTTTACGACGCTGCGATGAAGTGTCCTCTCCATTGCACTTGCCCGGGCGGGAATGAGGGCTCCAGCGTTTCCCAAGCTGCAGGAACCACACTTGGCCGCCGCTGACAGGACTCCAAGACAGAGGTCAATACGTTGGTGCCAACATTGGCTGCAGGAGCACGAGGAGCTCATCCACCCTTTGACAGGTTTTGTATTTAGTCCTGCTGGGTGTCTCCATCACCCTCCACACAAGACCGAGGCCAGGTGGGGGAGCCGGTTTAGTCGCCGACGACCCGACCATGGAACAGCTAGCACTGGTTTACATGGTACCAGTGGAAGTTAAGGATTTAGCTGACTCTAAAGACTGTATATAATGGCTATTTTGCACATCCCTTTCATAATTTCAAGATTTTCTAAGGTTTATTGACATATCATATTATACACAACTACGGTGTAGTTATGCAATGAATGAAAAACTTGGGTCGCAGGTTCCTCAACAGTGCATTACAAGACATCTATCAATATGTGTGTACCTCCACCATTAATCCGTCATATTCTGCACATTTCTTATTCTATCTACATACATCTTATAAGAGTATAATAAATATGTATAATATCGGTTAAAATAAGTGCTTCAACATAGTTAACATTGCAGGAAAGTTGATTGTCAAGTCCCAAAACAAACCATGCAATATATTAGACTTTAAGTACTTTGTCAGGCTTAATATTTATCTGTAGATAGATTTTACTTACATGTATTTAAAAGAAGACCTTAACCTAAATATTCTTTAATGTTTAAATAAAGCCTAATTAGTTTGTCTGTTTTGCACATCCTCCTATTAATATCTTTGTACATCCGGCACTAAACGGTTTTATTCTAGATATCATTTACAGTATCTTCTTGATATTTTCTATTCTATATTTCTATCATTGACCTTCTACTTTCCTCCTATTTTGTATGTACTCTAAATATTTAAATGTTTTCTTCCAATATAAGACATGCAACAAAACATGCAACAGACCTTAGGCAAGGCAAGGCAAGGTTTATTTATATAGCACCTTTCAACACAAGGCAATTCAAAGTGCTTTACAAAAATGAAAGACATTAAGAAAAAGGCATTTTAAAACAGTCATTAAAAAGCAACACAATCTACCTGCATTGCAATTACTCTAAACATGTAATAACGTGCTTTAACCAGTAGGTGGTTTGGGTTCAAAAGCTGTCAAGTTTACAGTGTTAACAAAATAAAATATACTGCTGTTTCCGGTTTAGTTGACGACGGATATATTTTGTTATTGTTTTGATATTTATAACACAAAAGCGATGGAAAAACCCCACAGCAACACAGAAAAGATGGTCTTAACATGACCCAGCGGTCTGGTTAATAAAAAACAATAATATCAAAACAAAATATTACTACTAACTTTATTGTGAAATAAAAACAGAACGGTAAAAGAATAGTTTCCGGTCTATTCTGAGGCCCGATCTCTGTAGATAAATAAAGAACTACGAAAGATGTGTAATATTTAATGCAGCCAAACCATTTATGACTTTCAAAGAGTAAAGCAAGCACTGCTGAATAAAGTATGATTTTATCTTTTACGAAACGTTTTTTTCATATGGAATGCAGTTGGAGGTCAACCAATCACAGAGCTTGAGGACTAATCACGGGGTTTGTCGAGCAAAGCGGAACGATAGCTGAGGATTATGGGTAGTGTAGTGTCTTCTGCGAGCCTAAACTCCGAAAACATATTTGTTTCTCCGAATCGAAGGGGAAAAATACAAAAGCATTGCACACAATTTAAACCAATCAATGTTGTGTAATTAACAAGGATAATCTGGTGTGTTTGAGTTGATGAGTAGTGCAGATATCACTTTAAAATCTATCGACAGTAAGGAGAATACTTACTTTCGGGTGTAAAATCCTCCGTTATCCAATGGGAATGGACGCTCACATTGCCTTTAACTGCCGCCGACATGGACCGATGCGGTGCTTCCCTGAGCGCCAAATACCGCCGCCGATGGGAATACATTGCAATCAGTTGAAAGCTCTTTGCGTCCGTTTATGAAGCTGAAGGAGACTCGGCGCGTCACAACTGCACGCCAAAGGACCCTGACCAAGCGTCGCTATTGGACTATCAGGGAGTGAGACTGTGTTGGTTTTTAAGGAGGGAGGCTCAGAGGGGCGAGGGGGTTTCCCAAAGACGTCTTAGCAAAGAGATTGCTTTTTATGTGAGCTAAAAAGGAATCAATATCATGTTCATGGGAGATTTGGTAGGTTCAGTGACCTGCTGTCTGTCTTGTCATTACAATATTCTTGGTTAGATGAGTTTCTTTGTCATAGTCATTGTGGATCACTGTTGCCCATATATTGATTAAATATTGTTGAAGTTCTTCCTGTTCCCCAAAATGGAGACAGCTACCTTCCAAGTTACAGGGTTTGGAGGCAATTTACTGTAAGTTCATTCAAGTCCTTTGCAAAATGCTAACTTCTTTTGAAATTCTAGCTATTGCACCCGACTTCGCTTTTTGGGTTTTCCCTTTCCTGTAGTGTGTTTTGTTTACATGTAAATGGCCAAAGTTCCCTCCAGAGAGAGTTTCTCTCCCAAGTTTAATTGATTAACTATATTCACTGTCTTCATGATCATATTTGACTTTTACTGTACAGTAGATAAGGAATCCACTTAGCACATACAAACAATGGAAAGAGTTATGTTAAGGATGAAGTAACACAGTGTTAAATCAGCTAATATTGTGAGCAGCAGCAGGCTTTTTACCTTCAGTTTTTTCTTCAGTGATTTATGTTAGAACAAAGAGCTTTTCCGTGCCTGAATGGAAGGTGAACTGCCTCTGTGACTTTTTTTGATCTGAATCGATTGAGTATGAATGACTTCATTTTATTATTAAACATGACATGAATAATTAATGTCATCCTCTCTCAGGTTCCATTTCTCTCTTATTCTGCACTCCCAACACGTTCGCAGCTTACAGTTCCTGCATAGCTGTTTTTATGAACCATCACACTTTAGACCTTGTGATAAAACACTATGCCAACAAGCTACATACTGTATTTTGGCTGTTTCTCATACACTGTTCTGAGCTATACAAAAGGCGATGCACTGTTATTTGTAAAAATCAGTATTGTGTAATCCATGTAATAGGGAACTAGAAAGTATAAAGACCGAAAAAGTATATGTGGGGTGGCAGGATGTAAAAAATACACCAGATGTACACCTAGTAGGCTGCTGTTTGTGTCTAACATGAACATTATTGGGGAAGCAATATTAAATGAAGTGCAGGTGTGGCATTAAAGCTTTATCAGCTTATACCCTAATGGTTGGGCTAAACTTTACAAGTTTTAAGTTTAGGCAAAGACGGTACAGTACAAATCAGTTTAAATTCAGACACAACAACATTTTTATACAACGCCAACCTGGCTCAGACTGGCCCGGGTTTTGAAGCACACCCAATGTTGCTATTTTCTTTGTAATAAATCAGGCT